CTATGCAGTTAATATTTGGTAACCACCTTTGCTGCCCGACTACTCACGCTTATACTCTGCCATTAACCGCTTGAGCGCCGTGCCCGCCATGGCTCAAGTAGCCTCGAGGAAGCCCAGCCGCCGTTTTAAACTTCGCCGTTTTGGTTGTTTTCTCCCCAACTTGTCCGAAGAGCTACTTCCGGGCGGCCTTTACCATAAAGAAAATGAGACCAACCACAACCAAGTCTATTCCCTTTCGCTTCGCAACCAACATACAAGAGCTAGAAAATGTGTAGAGTGACCCATTGCCTCTGATCTTCATAGACTAATTTTTGCTACGGGTCAGAGCCGGAATTGCGACCAGCTGAGAAATATAAACGTTCTGAGTTTCACTTTACAATTGTAGTAAATCATTTGCTCCCTTCCGTCTTGATATTTAATATAATCCGAACCCTGAAAATGCCCATCTACGCAATATATTTATCTCTATAAGGCAGCGTATGCCACTATTTATATAACTTTCTCTAATAGGCGTGTCTAGATAGGGCAGGAGCCTCTTATTCTTGAACGAAGTCCTCCACACGTCTGAATGAAACTGGTTTCTAGTCCTGACCACAGAATTTCATGTATTCATTAAGGCTATTACCCGAGACCCCAATACTTGTCAAATATAATGATGACTCACACACACACACTGATGATGTTACCTAGTTGGGTAATGAAATGTGTTAGCAAACAGGCAAGCTCAGAGAGCACCAAAGACTCCACAATTCAACCCTGAGCTACTTATATTCTTGTCCATTGGACTCTGTCTATGTAATTGCAGACTTCCAAAGTTTTGCTGGTGCCAGTTACATTTTCTTAACTTGCGTTTTGTCAGTTCCAGGTAAAATACCTTCAATTTGCATTCGTAGTATCAAAAAAATCCCCTCTCATATATTTGCCACATACCATTACATGTTTCTAGTGTTTCTAGCATACTATCTGATGATACTTCTCCACTGAGCCTTGGTAATCGGTTTCGAGGGTTGACCGTAGCTAGTTTATCCAAGATCTTATGCTTCATATCAGCTACTGTGCTCTGTTATGGAGGGGGTGGCAATGACGTTCCAGCTTCAGGGGTTGGCTGCACATCCAGTTGTTCTTCCGGGTCTTCCTGAGTCCGGGATGTAATGTGTAGTTGGTCTATCTCAAGTTGTGACAGCAGCTTCCTATTCACTATGTTGAAGCGTTGGGTAACTAGCTGTTTCTCAGTGCGGATGTAGGTCTTCTGTTCATCCATAGTTCCTTCTTATGTTTCATATAACCCCTCTCATTAGGTCTACTGTTGTAGTAGCATTCCATGAATTCCAGGTTCTCTTGTCTCATCTATGTATGGTTTGTTCTAGCAGCCCACTTATTGTCAGATTGTCCTGGTTCCCCAATTTATGGCACAGACCTTGTTAATCCAGGCAACATCTGAGCCAGCATGACTCTCTTAGTTCATGTTACTCTCATATTCGAAGTAGGCAGGTGAAACATTAGGGAGTCTTTGCCTAAGGACACCTATTAGTAAGGTAGGTACCAGCCAGTATTCCAACCCCAGCCTCCCACATCAAAGAGCTGCGCTCTAACCACTATGTTATCTAGCTGCTCATTTTTTATACATATATATATTCATAGAGGAGTGTGCATATGTATGTGTGTGTGTGTGTGTGTGTGTGTGTGTGTGTGTATATATATATATATATATATATACACACACA